GATTAATTTTACGCGAAGGAAAAAAAATTCAGACTTAAATTTATTTGGAAAATGTGTGTAAATTATAGGACAAAAAACATCGACAGAAGATAATCTAATTTTTCGATTCCATTGTCTATACAATTAATTGAGCTTTATATATTTGAACCCCGTAACCTAAAATGGTTTTATAAATTCTAAATTAATAAAATTTGCATTTTTTTGCATTTGTAATAAAAGATATATGACAATACGTATTTAACACATCAGTTTAAAATTAATATCATTTATCGTCTGTCAAAAAAAATGTCTAAAACCAACACTAAAAAAGAAACTAGAGTAGGTAAAGATGGTAGTGTCGAAACAATTACTACCACTACTGTCACTTATTCAGGTTCTGGCTCGCATAAAGATCTTAGTTATTTTAATTCGGATATACAATCTTTCTTAGCCGATAATAACTTTGGTGGTTTTGGCGACGCTTTTAAATCTTTAAAACACGTATCTTATTCTAAACCTAAAGAACAACCGCAATATTTGCCCGAAGATTATACGTTATACGTAAAACCAACACAGAAAGTTGAATATCAAAAGTCTAATTGTACTGGACGTAAAAGGGCGCTTTTAATTGGAATAAATTATTTTGACACTAAATACGAATTGAAAGGTATTTTAACAAACATTATATATATTGAAGTCATAATTTCAAAGAATTTTAAAATTTTGATTATATTTTAGGTTGTATAAATGATGTCAAGAATATAAAGCATTTCTTGATGGATCATTTTAAATTTAAAGAATCGGAAATTACGGTTTTAACTGATGATCAAAGTAATACATTAAAACTTCCAACAAGAGAGAATATCCTTAAAGAGATGAAAGCTCTTGTTGCTGATGCTAAACCGCATGATTCGTATGTTTTCTTTTTTTATTTAACCAATTTATTTGTTTCAATTTCTTTTATGAAATTTATAATTTATTTATTTCTTTTGAAATTTGGTAGGTACTTTTTACATTATAGTGGCCATGGTGGTCAAAAAGTAGATTTAGATGGAGACGAAGAAGATGGATTTGATGAAACAATCATGCCACTCGACTTTAGAGTAAAAGGAGAAATCATTGACGATGTAAGTTTCAACAGTTGCATATGTTAATTTTTTTTCAAAAATTAACCCTTTTATCTTATTACAGGAAATGCATCATACATTAGTAGATCCTCTTCCAGCTGGTAATATTATCATTTCGAACAATGAAATTTAATTAATATCTTTATAACACCATGTTTATAAATTTTAAAGGGTGTAGATTAACAGTAATATTCGATTCATGCCATTCTGGTACTGTACTTGATTTACCGTACGTGTACTCAACTCATGGTAAGGTAAAAGCACCAAAAATACTTCAACAGGCTTTCAATGCTGGTGTGAAGTACTTACAAGGCGACAGAGAAACTGCCAAAAGTGATAAATCGCGCATACTTGATGGGCAAAAAATTCGCAGGAAGAATCTACAAACTAAATCAAGTCCTGCTGATGTTATTATGTTCAGTGGGTATGTTGATAAATTGCAAGTTTCCAAAGGTTTATTAATGTTTTTAAAGTTTTTTTTTTTTTTTTTTCGAACTCGTATAATAATTTAGATGTAAAGATGAACAAACTTCCGCAGATGCATTTGAAGGTGGTGCCACCACTGGTGCTATGTCATATGCTTTAATTACTACGTAGGTTCATTTCACTTTAAAATTAAGTCCATATGTTTTACCAAACTCTTATTAATTTTATTTTCTATATATAGGTTGAAAATGGATAGCAATCAAACTTATCAGTCATTGTTGAATCATATAAGAGATATTCTTCGCAATAAATATTCTCAGAAACCACAATTAAGCGCGTGAGTTTTTTTTTTTTTTTTTGAAATTATATAAAATAATATATCAGTAAATAAGATAAGATTTCTAATTTGTTCTTTATATATAGGTCTCACGAAATGGACATGCACGAAGTATTTAAAATATAATCTATTAAAATCTTGATATATTTTATCATGTGTATTTTTATCAGATTATATTTTCTGTTGAATAGTTATTTATTATTTTAAATTACTGTATTTATTATATTGGTTTAACTATTGTATTTATTTATATATACATATATTTATATTTTATGGATAACATGAACAAATGTATATGATTTAAAATTCGATACTCATTTTCGTATTAATAAGTTAATATTCAATGTTTGAGGGTAAAAA